CCAATCATCGTTCTTGTAATGCTTGTAATCTCTTCAGCCTTGCTTTTAATCTCCAAATTGTCTTAACTTCCTTCGGTAGAGGATTGTGGCTCGTATCAATTCCTTTTATCTAGCATCCTCTCAACGCTTTCAAATCCTTTGTCTTATTGAAAAGTGCTTGTTGACTCATTGAATTTCTTATCCTTCTTCTTGTGGAAAGTGGATTCTAGGTCTTGAAGTGGAGGAACAATAGGAGTTTTAGATACTTGGGTCATAAATCACTGAAACAAAACAAAAATGCGTAAAAGGAATAAAAATCAGTAAACTAATAAATTCATTGAAGTGAGACCACGACGTTGTAAGGATAACCATGATGCGGATGTGTCTCAGAAAGAAAAACAAAATCTACTAATTGCATAAAGTTAAATTTTTGTGGGTTTTACCCCACAAAAATGATCGAATAACCAAAAGGAATTAAATAGATTATCAAATAAGTTATTCCCCGGCGACGGTGCCAAAAACTTTGATGTCAGAAAAAGTACCTATTTAGTTTTTAAGTTATAATTTAACAAACTCTTACTAACTATGAACCTATATGCAATTTACCTAGTCAGTTTATAGTATAGCTCAGGTAAGTCGGGTGTTGATCATAGGGAACAGAATTCAATTACTTAAATTAACTACTTCTAATTAAACTATTAAACGAACTATGATTCCGGGGGGGGGGGGGGGGGGGTTACAGATTTTCAAGATCAGAATAACTTAATATCAACTATCAAACAAGCAAGCAACAAAAACAAAGTAACTTCAACAATTAAAAAAAATACTTCTGCCTAGATTCGATTTCATTTAATCCTATCATTGATTTCTTATGGATAGATTATATTGAATACCAATTATCTAGCTATTATGATCAAATATATAGGCTTACTAATGTATGAATGACAAAGCAATGATCAATGCACAAGTTAAACACCAAATTGATAATAGCACAATTGGATTAGGAATGATATGAGTTACTCTCATATATATGATCAATTCAAGAAACCAAGAACAACTTAATACTATTTATACTCTCTAAAACAGTTAAAGTTACTAGCTTAATTACTTAAACTAATATGTGATTAATCCTAGCTCTAAATATCTAATGATCATAAACAATTAGGAGATATATTCCTGTAATTAATATGATCAGTTAACACACAAAATCTTATTTATAAGCAATATAAACTAGAACTTAAACATGATAGGCTTTATATATATAAAAAAACAAGTAAAATCAATAATACTCATCTAATATCGAAATCAACACATATGTATCAAGCTCATCTTCACCAAAAAGGAGTAAAAGGTGAGTAGCCTCTCATTGTAGCAGAAAAACACATTAGATCTAAGTAAAGTAAGCTAAACATAAGTTTAATAAGCAAACCAACTAGATGAATGTTGAATATCTTCTAAGTCTTCTACAATTCTTGACCTCTCTTGAATTTCGACTTTCTATCGGTTTCTAAGGGTTTGTTTGTCACAACTAACCTCAGAGAACCGAATGCATCCTCTCAGTTTTGACCTAATGTTCGGGATTTCGTAATTGAGGAAATCTGACCACCACGTTGTGGTTCACTGCCACCATGATGTGGTCTTCGTGTTAATCCTGTGTCTACTACATCAGCAAATGGGTCGTGATTCTTCCAATCACCACATTGCAGTTATGTGATCACGATTTGGTCTTCGGACCTTTTCTTTTATTCTTTTGTTTTACCTCATGTTTCTTGCTTTCAGCTCCCCATATGCTTCCTTTTTGTCCCAAGCAAGTCTTCGGCGCTACAAAACATAATTTAAACATAATAAGTATCTTTTGTTCCATATTAAGCATAATTGTAGCTAAAATTATTATAAATATGCATTAAATATATAGTTAATTATGCACTATCAAAATACCCCACATTTGGCTTTTGATTGCCCCCAAGCGAAACTGATCTTATTATCATCATATCAAAACTTTAACTACCAACATCAGACAAAATAATCTATTTTGAGCCTGTCCATTACTCCAAGACTGCAATGCATATATTTGTGTTTAAATTTCTCCTAAGAACTTCCCCAATCCGAAATACTTACAATCTTCATAAACAGTTTTCCACTTCTTTTGAACAACGCTCATTTTATGAATCCCTCCGAATCCATCCCCATAAAACTTTCTTAACCTCAAGGTATTTTTGGTTGAATCCCTAAGCATACATATGGAAAAATAACCTAGAAAATAAAAATACAATAAATAACTTGGAAAATTTTTCCTTATTCTTGAGTTTTTGATAATTTGGAGTTTTTCTTCATGATATTTCTTGATCTACATAGCTTGTAGACTCTTATTCTTCAACTTTTGCAACTTTTTTTTTTTTTTACTTTTTCTATTTTTTTCTCTCTTTTTTTTTCACTCAAAACTAAAAATCTTATAAAACATATGCTTAAGCAAGGGAACTTAACTTCAACCCTTATTGGTTAGAGGTATTAGCCTAAGGTGCAATGTCTACATAAGATCTCCTGGATACATTTATGGTACACAATACTAATCATATTGCAGCCCTCAAACGAAGCAAGTTCGTGTTTTTTTTTTCATGATTTCACTAAGATAGGGAAGCCACAAATACACTATAACATATATATTGGCTCAAATAAACATTGAAACTCGCATCGGATCGTGCCACACAACACTAGCAACCTAGACCACCACCATGACGTGGTCTTCGTGTTAATCCCGTGTCTGCCATGTCAACAAATGGGTCGTGATTCTTCCGATCACCATGTTGTGTTTATGTGACCATGATGTGGTCTTCAGACCTTTTGTTTTCTTCTTTTGTTTTAGCTTCTGTTTCATGCTTCCAACTCCTCATATTCTTCCTTTTATTCTTGAGCAAGTCTTTGCCTCTACAAAACACAATTTAAACATAATAAATATCTTTTGTTCCATGTTAAGCATAATTATAGCTAAAAGTATTAGAAATATACATTAAATATGTAGTTAATTATGCACATATCATGTAATAAATACTATAAACATTCAAAATGAGGAACATCTTAAGCATATGTTATATAGCAAGAATACTAAACAGTTATAGGATATAACCGTATCCTATTAACCCACCTCTAGCAAACAATTATAGGACAGTAAGTTGTTAACCTACCTTATTAGATATAAGAAGCAAGATAGAAACATACCATAGGAAACACCTAATATACTACATTTGGTAAGGAGACGCCTAAAGAGAATAGTAGTATACAGTCAACATCAAATCGAGTAAGAAAACCATAGTACCAACAAACAGTAAAATCTTACCTTAAAACCATGTAGGCCGAAATACTTTTATAGCCACATATAGTTACATGTAAAAAGTATTTTCAAACTATAAAACATGTGAAGTCACCAACATTACGTTGACCATTTCAAAACCACATGTATTCCTAGGAAACCATGCGATAGAAGATGCACTCCTTGGAGCATCGGTTAATCAATGGAGCTACTGGAAGCTTTTGGAGCTACTGGAAGCTTTGTATCAGTTAGTTTTATGCCTAACTATAGAGGCACCCTTTTCTATTAGAGACTTCAATAAAACATATACCGATGTAACATTTTACTCATAATGGAAGTGATATCTATGTTACATCTTGTTTTGTATTGTTTAACGTATGTTTACTATCTGTGATCCAACATTCTAACGTCGCGCAGCTCGACGATTCTATCATCGGCCGAGGGTGTGACATCTTGAAACCAACTATGTGATGCATGTAGCTAAATGATGTCACTAATAGATATTGATGTTATGTTACCATAGCTTAATACATTAAACGCAATAACCAAAAACTAACATCCTATGAAAACCAAAGGTAAATAAACTCAAGCAAAGATGTATTGAACATGGATAGTTAAAACCAAAAACGAAGATTTGAATATCATCATGTGTAGCTTGTTCTTAAAGAAAGCTTGAATCATCTGTAAAAATTATATAAGTTTTATTCATTTACATCAAAAAAATTTCAATTTTCGTTCACTTTTCTATACGTTTTAATCATTTCTTGCCTACTTCAAGCAATGTAAATATATAAATAAAAAACCCAAAATTTGAAATTGTCAAATTGATTAAACATGACAATATTTTGTGGCATACGCCACCTTAGGCATCCCCCACAAACTAGTCTCAAAACTAACGTGGAGAAGATAAATCACAATGTCCTTAGAACAACATTCAATCATCGACTCATCTAATTATGTTTTAGTTCTAACTATATTATTTTAATCTTGCTCATTTGAGATAAAATATAGCTAGAATCAAAAAAAATTTAAACAATTTAGTTAACTTTTTTACAAAATTGATTATCACTTTAGTAACCCATGAGCCGACACACATCCTCTCGTCTCAAAACTACAATATGAAAGAAATATTAGTGAATTATAAATCGTGTACACAACATTTCACTAGGAGACTAACATTAAAATACAATGCCCACAAGGAGTCCCATTCAATATCGGAATTCAAACTCTCATGTTGTGGAAACTAACACTTAAACCCTAGCCATTTGTACATTATCTTGAAACCAACTATGTTATGCATGGTGCTAAATGAGTCGAAAGTGTCACTAATAGATATTGATGTTATGTTACCATAGTTTAATACATTAAACGCAATTACCAAAAACTAACATCATATGAAAACCAAAGGTAAATAAACTCAAGAAAAGATTCATTGAACATGGATAGTTTAAAACAAAAACAAAGAACCAAACATTGTCATGTGTAGCTTGTCCTTAAAGAAAAACTCAATGGTCAGTAAAACTTATATAGGTTTAATTCATTTACATAAAAAATTCAAATTTTCACTCACTGTTCTATACGTTTTAATCATTTCTTGCTTGCATCAAGCAATGTAAAGATATAAATAAAAACCTAAAATACGAAACTATCAAAGTGATTAAACATGACAATATTTTTTGGCGTACACCACCTTAGGCATTCCACACAAATTAATCTCGGGACTAACATGGGAAAGATAAATCACAATGTCCCCCACAAACTATTTCTATAACTAACATGTGAAAGATAAATCACAATGTCCCCGTAATAAAGAAGGTGAAATCCAAATATTTGAGTATCTGACACACCTCTTATGGAGAACCATAACGTGACAATACATGACAAAAAGATAGCAAATCCATTCGACATTAGTATATTTTTTACAAGATTTCACAAAACTTAAAACACATATCGTATCTATATAATTTGTTGAGCCTATACAGTATCTGTATAGGCTCATATATACTATATAAAGTAGCCTCTAGAGCACCTAAGACTCGAGGAAATCGAGCTAAAGCTCATTATGAATCAAGCGCTCATCATCATTGACCTCAATTTCTTCAATAGACGACTTATCAGATGAAGTCAAACAATCAGCAGAAGGTTGAACTTGCCCATAATTAATTCCTGTAACAGAATTGCAATAAGTTTGGGCTGTTTTACCATCAAGCTTTAGTAAATTGATGTTTTTTAAAATTATGTTATTGCAAGGCACAGTGTCGCTGCATGCAAATTTCATTGCGTCTGTGCTTTTTGATGATCCGGTGACGTTTTGGTACATTATTTGGCTTATTTCCACAGCTGACGTCTGTACAAGGAAAAAAAAGTTGATTCAAGAGTTTTTTGTTATTCTTAATGTAAATGTTGAAAATTAAGATATGATAGAAATTGTACCTGATTTTGACAACTTTTAGGTGAATCGCAATAGAATTGATCGATTATGATGGGATTGGCTACATTATCCATTTTTACATTTTGGTAGCGTACGCCTTTAACGTAACCTGATCCTCCCTGTGTTTAAAACATGATATAAATTTAAAAACCCGATGCTTTTTCATCTAAAATATATCGAATTAAATCATGTATGTGCATTCAAGAAGAACGAAATATTTTTGCCTAAATATAAATAAGAGTTTACTTGCTTCATTAAAATAATTTAATCATTATTCTAATCACACCTTTTTTAATAATAACTAATATATTTATATTAATACTTATTATGTAAGTACCTGCCATGTTTTAATTCTGAGGCCATTACTAGTGCCTTTCAAGAAAGCTGTATCCAGGACTACTTTTGATACTATGCCAGTAGAGTTATCCTTACCCAAGCTTCCAATACTGCAAACACCAAAATCTTTAATAACTATTCCCCTTTTTTTTTATTTAATCATTTAAATATTATATAAATATATATTAATCAAACATTCATGGAAATCAAAACACACCTAATTCCATGACCGGGCCCACAATAAATATTCTTCATCTTGATATTTGAGCTAGCATTCACAATCGAGACACAGTCATCACCTAAACAACATGTGTGAAAATAGATAAACGGTTAGTACATTATTTTTGTGGTCAAATGTTATATTTGTTGGATTCTATTTGAAGTATATTGACACTTGGTTGTTTTATATATAGTTTATCATAGTTATTACATTTAAAGAATTTTCATATCGATTTTGAAGTTGAAAGTAGTCTCTTAGACGTTAAAATCAACCATTTATATGTTTTATTAATCTCATAAGAATTGGAACATTTAAAGGTCAACAAAAAAACAATTTGACTATTAGTCAATGGCTTAAGATCCTTCACAAAATAAAAATCTTGTGGACCCATATCAGGTAACTTTAGGCTAAAAAGTTGCACAAAATCTTGGTATCCTTTATTAGTGTTAAAATTTTTACTAATGAATTATAACGAAGAGGCAAGAAATAGAAACTTGCTTTCATTGATTTGTACTTTCATATAATGTATTATATCATGCTACTCTCATTTCTTTCTATTAAAACATTATACTTTCGCATAGTATCTTATTACCAAATTATACTTCAGAAAATATTCCCAATTATTGTTTTCAATCTAGATGGCAGTTCTATAATTGGGTAGAATTTCAAAAGTTGAATGTTATAATAACGATAAAACAAAAGTAGGATTTTTGGTAACGAGAGGAGCTTTTATATGATTATATCTATATATTATAGAACATGAAAGACAAGAAAAAAAAAAAAAAAAAAAAACCTGTTCCAATTTTGCTGTTTTGAATAACGACGTTGGTTGATCCAGTAAGATGGATTCCATCAGTGTTAGGACTATCTTCAGGAGCAGAAACTACAACACTATTTATGCGCACAGAGTCACAATGAGAGATGACAAAATGCATCTGTTGACTATTTTGGAAAGTAAGACCTTGCACTTTTATAGATGAACTTTGATCAATTGTGAACGCCTGTATACAATCTTCTATGTTAAAATAAATTTCATTCAAAACCATATATAGAACGTGTTTGTTACACGGGACATGACTGACTGCAAGCTTTTTATGGTACTTTTTGGTCATGGGGATGAATTGAAAAACTCAAAATCGAAACCTTTTGTAGATATTTTTTTTAATTTTTATATAAAATCCGAGAAAAAAAAAAGAACCGAAAAACCCAAACGACATTGATTTATGTTTAATTTTAAATGAGTGAGTACGTCAAAAATTAAAATGCTTTTATGGTTTTTATTAATAACTAAAATAACGAACTTGTGTTTACATCGTCACTAATTATATTTTAGTAAATTTACTTGTTATATTTTAGTAAATTTACTTATTTTTTTTTGTTAAAAAACTTATTGGCATGGTTGATGAAAAAACATTAAAATAAAAACCTTAATCCAATTTTTCAAAGTCAAAAAAACCAAAATTTTTTGTTCGGTTTTAATCAAAAACCTAACCTATTGAAATAAGTTATAATCCAAGTCTAATGCCTGTTAAACGCAGTACAAACTGTATTATGTGTATCAAGTAGGTCCTTGAGTTCTTACCGATGGTGCTCCTACGCAAGGCTGTAAAACAAGAAAAAAAGTATGTCAATAACTTGATTTTTATCGGTTATATTGAATTATGAGTTAATAATTTATTTATGATGGTTAATTTGGAGTTTTCGGAAAGAATAAAGATTTTACGTTTGTCTTATTCTTTTTGCAAGATGCAGCCCACCATTTCTTGCCGGATCCATCAATAATTCCATGTCCTTGGAAAGTGGCTCCGGTCAGATTAGAAAAGTGAAGCCAATTCCGAGGATTTTTTGAATCCCAGTTCTTGGGTTCATCTGGAGCTACGATTGTTCCATCGATCTGTATATAATTATATTCATCATTTTATTAATTATCTACTAAAAAATACTTACGCAAATTGCCTAAATTTCGATCAAGAGATGCCTCGTTAAAATTTCAACATTTCTATTTTTAAAATGAATAAGATCTTTAGTATTTTATCTTTAAAATGTATGCTCCCTCCAGAAAAATTGCAACATTTCTATTTTTGAAAACTTTTAAATCTTGTTCAATGTCACCATTAGAAAAGACTATTGTGATGGTTCCCTTATTATGTCATTCTTGAAGGGTATTTTAAGTATTTCTCGAATGAAAAAAAAATTCTTAGAAGATGTTAGTGAATAATAGTGAGTGAAATGCTTCAATTTTTTAAATAACTACATTATCTCCATCCCAACACTATAGTTAAGCTTTAATTTTAAAATGTCCTACATATTTCTTTCCATATTTAAAAGAAAATTAATACCTGAACAATTAACTTTGTAGCACAAGGTCCTTTAAATCTTGTTGCATTAACAAGATAAGAGCGACCAGGAGGAACCAAAAGTACGGCTTTTGCTGTAGAGCAGGCTTTTGACCATGCATTTTCAAATGCCTGAAAAATAAATAAATCAAAACTTATTGGATTAAAAAAATATATTTTTTTCATTAAGGGTATTTCTGACATTTCGGAAATGAAAAACAATTGCTTAGAAGCATCTTGGTGAGTTACATGCTGCGTAGCAAAAGGTACGACAAATGAAAAAACAATTTCTATAAGGGTATTTTAGTAATTTCCACATCTTCACCATTGTGTCATAGAAACTCCATTTTCCACACAGAAAAGGACATGGAAACTACTATAAAAATAATTTCTTGAAGGGTATTTTAGACCTTTCAAATGAAGACAATTTCTTGAAGGGTAATTTAGATATATCGGATAAAAAAAAAACAATTTCTTAAAGGGCATTTTAGATATTCCACATATTCACCTTTGTATCATCAGAAACTCCATTTCCACAATCAACAAGTTACGGAAACTATTATAAAACTAATTTCTTGAAAGAAAAATAAATATCATCCTACTTTTTTTCCTATTTTTCTTCCTACCTATTTAAGATGATGATAAGTGTACAAATTCAAAATCTCAATCAAATTTAAATTAAATTTAATGACACTTATCACCATCTAAAATAAGTAGGAAGATATTAGGAATAAATAGGAGGAGATCATTTAATTTCTCTTCTTGAAAAGGGTGTCTTAGACATTTCAAATCACACAAAACATTTTTTCGAAGGGTATTTTAAACATTCCACATGTTCACCTTTGCATCATCAGAAACTCCATTTCCACAAACAAAAACATATGGAAACCGCTATAAAAAAAAATCTTGAAAAATGTATTTTAGACATTTCATATCACAAAACAATTTCTTGAAAAGGGTATTTTAGACATTTCCACATACTCACCTTTGTATCGTCAGAAACACCATCTCCAACTGCACCAAAGCTATCCACATTGATCATAACCTTGCTACCATGTTGACTTGACCACCAAGGCAACTCCAAGAACTCAATTTCATCATCTTCAACATCCAAACTTTCAACTTCATCAAAACCATAAAAACTTTTTACAACATGAGTGCCATGAACCAATAACAAAACAACAAGAATAGAGAAAAAGTCGATTTTGCCCATGCTTTAAAAGGTTTTGTTAGTTTGAGAAAAACCGATAGATTTGTATAAATCAAAAAGAAGACATGAGGATTTTAATTTATATGTATAGATTAGTGGTATAAATGATGATATAGTTGTACCTGGCTTTGCTTAAAAGTACATGAAGGTGTTAGATTTTCTACATGCTCAAGCTTCAAGTATTTTTTAGGAAACCTTCGCTTTACTCTTCAAATACTTGTCTAAATCGTCACTAAATTTCACAGAGAGTCTAAAAGCGTCTTTTGTTTTCTGTCTTTGGGACCCACTAGTAGCCGACGTTAGATTAACATCCTTCAAAGTTTCTCCTTTCAAAAAGTCTCCACATGGTAGAATTAAGTCTAAGAAAATTAAATGTGACACACAAAACATAAATTAATTCTTTCTATCTGATTATATTATAAACTCTAACATTTATCAAATGTTATTTGACTGTAGATAAGCTATTTCTCGATTTTTGTTAATTTTTCAGTTTCAGGGAGCCAATTGTTTAATATGTTACATACATAATATATGATTACTGCAATCTTTTTTCCAAAGTTAAAATTTTAACCATTAATTTTACTATATGAATTTGATTTATTTAGGTAGATCATGCTTTTGAGATATAAACGATTTAACTTTCGTGACTTTGATCTTTTAGAGATTGTAAAGATTTGGAAATTGTATGGATTGTGTTGTGTTGGAATCTTGATATTTGAATTTTGTTTAAAGGTTTTCTAGCTTCTTTTTTATTTTTATTTTTTTTTTATTTTTATAGGAACATGGAAATGTGACAACATGGAGGTGAAGCGATCAGGGGTAGCAATGAAAATGTGATGGGAGTCATATGTTTGGTTTGGTGCTTGTATAGAAGATGGCATGGTGAATGGTAAAAACTATGATAGAAGATATGGTTAATCAAAGGACATTATTGTCTTTTATAAATTAAATTTTATAGGTGTAAGGGAAAAAGTGCTCAATATAATACATATAGAGGTAATGTCCTAATGAGATCAAAATGAGAATGGTTCAGATTAGTCTTTGTTTCTGTCGATCTATCTTTAATAAGTTAAGCATTAAACGAATTTGTTGTAAGGATAAGTGCTTAAGTGGTTGTATGCTTTGCTTGATCTATTTTTTTTTTAAAGGTGTGGAGTTGTACTTTAGGCACTCTTGATTTAGTAATGAATAGGAAGAGGAAAGTGGAAAGAACAAAAGTGTTTGGTGGTTTTCAGGGATTGTATTGCTCCTGTGGATTGTACCATGTGCTTGGCTTTCATCACCAAGAAGTGGAAGTGTGGAAAAGAGTATTGGAAATTTATAAGAGTGTTGGAATCTTAACAATAGGAATAAAGATGATTTTAAATGTGGTGTGATTTATGTAATTTGACTAATGAAATTAAGTGTTGAAATACTATGTGGGATTATAGGTCTTTTCATTTGAGGATTTGTAATTTCCATTAGAAATTTGACATAAAACTCGACAAAAACCGTAAAAAATAAAGTGTATTGTCTATATCTATATATAAAAAAAAAAATACATTGTTATTTCATGCAATTTGTTCTATTTTTTATCTTCTTTTCCTGCAATTTGCTTAATTTTCACATAATGTTGCTATATGATTTTCATGTTGCTATTGTCTTTTTCCTTTTTACAAGAATAAATTACACGAATGGTCTCTATGGTTTGGGTAATTTGCGTTTAGTCTCTACAGTTTGTTTGTTGTGTGTTTGGTACATGTCTTACCTAAAAATATTATTTTGACCTTGATTTTTTAATTTATTTAAATAAACACACCCTACCCTACTTCCACCTCATCTTACATTAACTTACCTACCCTATTTTATTTAAATAAATTTAAAAAAAATCAAAGGAAAAATAGATTTTTTAGGTAAAAAGGACAAAGTGCGCAACGAAAACAAACTGTAGAGACCTTCCAAGTTAAAAAAATAAGTTAGAGACCAAACTTGCAAATTACCCCAAACCATAGGGATCATTTGTGTAATTTACTCTTTTTATAATTGTTAGTCAACCAACTAATTTTATATTTTATGAAACCATTGTTAGAGAACCATTGCCAAAGAATCTATTTTAAATCATTGTTAAAGAAGCTTTTTACTTCTTTACATTTTGTTAAAATAATAAGAAAACAAAATATTTGTCATCTTTTATTTTATTTTTTGAACTTTTATTCCTTTTATATATTTGTTTCTCATTGTAACATGTGACTGGTTTCTTTGTCATAACTTTTCTCATTTTTTTAGTTAAACAAAGACTTCATCAACGATTGGTCTGGTATGAGAGTATATAACATAGAGGTATTTTCTACTTATATGTAGATTGCTTTTGTCTCTCAATTTCTTACAAATGGAGATATCTTCTATGATTTTTGCTCTAAAATGATCAAATTCTTGAAGAAATACCTAAACATTTAATGTATTTTCATTTTTCTCATTATGTCATTGTACTATAAAAATTCCTCTTATTTGGGTGCTTTGTCAAACTATATTCCCTTAAATAGGGGGCTAAATGTGTGAAATGATAACATACTTTTATATAATTACTTTTGTTTGTGTAGCTTTCATTTTTTTCTGAACATAATACTGTAAGTTTTTAATTTAGTTTGACTTTTTTTTTCTTACATGAATAACAGGAGTGAGTCAGAATTTTTCACCTCACATGAAAAGAACACAAAGTGACTATGAACATATATTATGGAAAACCAATCGTTAGGCCTGTTGTGCTGTTGAGGTTAATGAAATGTTTGTTGCGGTCCATAAATATGGTGAATGAAATTATGACAAAACATTAAAAAATGTTTTAAAGGTGATAGAATGCTTCCACAATATCTTTGGTTTCTTTTCTTTTAAAGTTAAAAGGTTTAGTGTCATATCCATGTAAAAAATAATAATATACTTTTATTTATTGGGTATTATAGCATTCCATATTAAAAAATAGATACGTGACAAATTATGTGAAGCTTAAAGTTCAAAAGAACATATTATATCATAAGTATTGTCGAAACTCCCGCCGCAACGCGCGGACTTAAAAACCTCGTTTATTATATACTCCATCTTATTGGATAATTGTCCTTTTGTAAAGGTAAATACTCCAAGAAAATAATACCACTTGTATATTAAGGAAAAATATCTTCATAATCATAATGTGAAGCATACAAAAGTGGTTTTAATCATTCCTATATGAAAATCTAAAAAAATTTAAAGCTTTGCAAGCACCAAAAGGATAGAACATTTTTGCATGTGACATAGAGTGATCTGATTTGGAATCACTGATAAAAAAAATAACATAAAAACTTGTCAAGATAGATACCTTTCTTTGAATCCAAACTTATGAGAAATCTTACATATGTCATTTTTTTTCTAAGGGAGTGATCAATTTGGCTATTTATGTCAAATGGAATAAGTTTCAAAACTCAAAATAAATAATTAATTCCTTCTAATTTTCAATGATAAAATAATAAACTGCACTACCCTGTAGAAAAGTTGGGCAGAAGCAATATTGGGTGAACTTTGGAGTAAAATCTAAAATCATTCTTTAATAAGACAATATATAAATTTGACGGGGTAAAAGTGAAACACCATATATTTACTTTCATATGTTTGGGCGATTACTTTTCACTTTCTTTCCTTCACCTTAAGAAAACACACTCATGAGTCGTGAACTTTGGATGGATTTTAAACAACTGTTAAATGCAAGAAATAGCTAAGTGCTTTTATTGATTAGTTTATTATAACATTTTTTCTTCATTTTTTTCTAATCACAAAATTCTACTTTAAAATTTTAGCGATTATAACAATTTCACCCAAGTACAAAGCAATTTCCAGTGCTATAATGAAGTAGATTTTTCAAAGTATATTGTCATAATGAGGAAAACAAATTAAAAGAATGATGCTATAATGAGTAAATTTCACAAAGTACAGTGCCTTGAGATTAAAATACTCATTCTAGCAAATTGTAGTATGGTGCTTATGTGTTTTTTTTTTTTTTTTTTGCATTTATACAAGAATGATGGTTTCTTTGCTATAAAAAGCCAGATACATTAATTTGAAAAGTCAACAAGTCCTTACATTTTCCAATTCAAATTTGAAGAAAAAGAATTGCAAAATACTCACCCACACAAATTCTTTCGAGCTACACATATTGTCTTGAAAACCCTAATTTCGTAACTTGCTGATGAAACAAGAAATCGAGTATGTAATGAATCAGAGTAACAATGATCAAAAGTAAATGTGTGAGATTTGAACACCAATGTAAATATGATTTTTGGTTCAGCTCTATTACGCTCTTATGTTTTTACAGAGTACAATAGATAATTCTATCAAAAGACCTCTATCTAACTCTAGTAAACTCTCCTATTTATAGGAGAGAAAAGCGTACAAAAAATATACCAAGGACTAAGCATTAAGCTTCGAATACAATGCCTTAGTAAAATTGATATGGGCATATTTAGTTATAAAATTCATGCATTATCTTAATACTTTATGTTAATTTTATCTCATTTAATGAAAAAAAAGGTGTTTAATTAGATTAAATATTTCATTTTCAGCAACAAAGACATGCTCCAAAGAAAAATGAAGCGGAACTAGCTATTGGAAGCTTGGATCTTGGATTTTGAAGAAAGAAGGATGTTGTTGGACAGCTTGACCCCTCGTCAGTGTTTTGGTCATTTCTCATGAACCGTAACTCCGATTGACGAGATTCAAAATGTTCTGAAAAGTAGACACAATTTCGGACGACTTTCGTGTTTTGAGAAAATGCTGATTCAAAACGTACTCGGCGAGTAGGGTCGATTACTAGGCGAGTTGTATCGAACTTTCGCGATTCTGGATGCGCTGACTTGCCGTACACGGGTTTTAAGTGATGGACTCGCCGAGTAGCCTCTGTTTTGTGAAAATCTATATAAAGGGACTTTCAGATCGATACCCTAGCATATAGATGAACCCTTGGAGGCCAATTGTCGACTAGAGGTGCTGCTGGAGCGTGGGAAGCAAGGGAATCAACCCTACATTCAATTTTAAGGAGAATCAAGTCAAAATCAAGTTTACTCTTACCTAATC